CCGTCCCACCGGCCCAGCCACTGACCTTTCTGCTGCTTCATGGCAGAGCGCAGTTTCTCTGGGGGAGGAGAGAGGGAGAGGTGAGATTGTATCCTGTGACACTTCGGGGGGGAATGGGGATTTTGTACCTGGCCCAGGCACTGACCTTTCTCCTCCTTCCAGTCAGACAGCAGGGTCTCTAGAGAGAGAAGGACAGGAGTGACTCATCTATTGGTAGATTCTCGGGCCAGAAGTGACCACTGTGACCCGCCCATCTGAGCCCTGAGGCGAGAAGTGACCACTGTGACCCGCCCGTCTGAGCCCTGCATTACACAAGCCTGGCTGTGGCCTGCCCCCCACTAATCCCTCCCGTAGATCGTTTGATTCATGTATCAGCCCAGTCTTGATTTCCAAACCACCAGGGCTGGAGAAACCCCCTCTTGGGAAATTCTTCCACCAGTTAGCTCATAATGGCAGATGAGATGTCACCCAGCTGCGTTAACAGGGACAGTTAATGTGCTGGGCCCAGCCACTGACCTTTCTCGCTGTCCCGGGCAGATCGCAGGGTCTCTAGAGGGAGGAAGGGTGAGAGGTGAGATGGTACCATCGTGTTTGTGGTGAGGTTCCCGCTATTAATGTACCTGGGCTGTAAGTGAGGCCAACTGACACACAGGACATACGGATCGACCCGTCTCAACATCCCTGCACTGACCATCCCTCACTTCCCTCCCCCGCTGACCATCCCCGCTGGGGGTTCCACGAGAAGTAACGGTAGTTCAAATTAGAGATCCTAATTCAAACTACTTACTCCGTGCTGCGTGTAGCCGCGGGCACGGAGTCCGTGCTAAGGAGGATTTAAAAATGGCAGCGCATGGGAAGATGCAAATGAAGCCCGGGATATTTAAATCCTGGGCTTCATTTGCAACTTTGAATGCCTACATTAGCCTCCCTAGTTCGAACTATGGGGCTAGTGTAGACATACCCTTGCTGAGGGTGCAATCCATCCCCTCATCCAGGTCATTAATAAAGATGTTGAACAAAACAGATCTTTGGGGCACTTCGCTGGAAACCGACCACCAACCTGACATGGAGCTTTGATCACTACCCATTTGGCCCGACAGTCTAGCCAGCTTTCTGCCCATCTTACAGTCCATTTATCCAATCCATACTCCCTTAACTTGCTGGCAAGAATCCACTGACTTCCCCAAGTCCATAGAGCCAGTTACCTCATCATAGAAGCTAATGAGATTGGTCAGACACAGGGGAGGGAGGGTGCTTGCACAGACAGGAGCGGGCAGAACTGGAACCAAAGAAAATCCCTCTCCTCCTACTTCCTGTTAATATTTTCTTGCCAGGTTCCATATGTCAGTGCTCCAAGCTCAGTTCTCTGTACCTCACACGGTGTTTCAAACAGAGCCTTGCTCATCCCCAGGGAACGGTTCAGAATCACATTTGGTTGGGATCCTATAGTGAGCTTTGAAGGCTTGAAGCCACCTGACACTAATATGAAATCACCATTCACTCTCCTTCTGACGCCCACAGCCTGAAATGTTTGTGAACGTGGAATCAAAACCCCTTAATCCCAGTATCTTTACTGTTGTGTTTCATTTTTATCTCTCTCTTCCCCCCACACCTCAAATTTCCCTTTTTGTTACTTCACCTTTTGCTCTGTACACCTTCCAGAAGTAGTAACTGGCCACAGCAATGAGGCCAGCCAGGAGAGCCAGGATCACCCACACAGACACCATCCAGGCATTGACCCTCGGGAAAAACAGCCCTGCAAGAGAAAGTGCCATTGACACATGGAGCATGAAGATAGGACAGTGATGTGGCGACACTGTGACCAGTTAAAAGAATCTCACCGGGAAATACACAGGGAGAAGGGTACTTTATTATTAAGTCAATCAACATCCAGGCTTCAGTTTTCTTATTGAATAAAGTTAATTAATGGGAGGGGCATGTTGAGAGTAGGGAGGGGGCAGGGTGGAGCTCTGCTGTGCTACATCTATTCCCCTCCCCCTGTCATAAGTTGCTGCTGTCTCTGGACTGCTCTGACTGATCCCCAAGCTGCAGCCAGCTCAAACTTGCCCTCAGAATCAGGGAGCTGTTATAAGCTCCCTGAAACCCTGACTTTCCTGTGCTCACAGGGACTCAGCTACATCAGAGACTCTGGCCCAAATGATATTAACGCAGGGTTTGATTACATGCAAACCTTGAGCCTGGAGATTCAGAATAAAAATCCCTCCACATTCCTCTTCCCTGGACCCTGGAGCAATGCTGACCTAGAGCTAGCCTAGGGTAAGATGGGTTGAGTTCTGCCTCTGCCCCAGGAAGCAGCCTGATTTGGCTCTCTGTATTTGGGTGCTGTGTGTTAGACTTCTGGATTCTTGAGGGGAAAGCGGTGTTACATTGCAGCCTTCCAGAAAGGAGGGTATAAAATAAGAGACAACGACTGTTGTGTTACCTCTCCTCCTCCATCTCTTCTCACTGCACTAAGATTGCTTGGAAATCAATATGAGAGCGTCATTGAACTGTGTGTGAGTGGGAGGAGAGAGAGAGATGGTCCTGGCTGAAAGGTTTTCCAGTTAGTATGGTCTGCAGTAAGTTTTTGGATGTGAGAAACCTTTTTGCTTTCAAATCTTACTTAGCTTAATAAAGTTTAGGAATTAGGTTTGGTTTCAGTTTTTATTTCTTTTGTAACCAGTTCTGACCTTTATGCAGTATCACTTAGTATCACTTAACATCTCTTGTTAATAAACTTGTTATATTGTTTTACCTAAACCAGCATGTTTTGGTTGAAGTATTGAGGAAATCTCAACTCAGGTTAACAGAGACACCAGCAGAATAATTTCCTTTGATGAAATGATTGACTCTTAATGAGTTTGCATTGTTCAGAAGTGTGTTGGACAGTACCCAATGAATGTTTTCAGAGTGTAGGCTGGGGAACTTGTGAGTGTCACCCTGTATGTAGTCCATGAGTGGCTGAGAGAGCATTCATGTCACTTTTTTGGGAATGAATTTACATGCTAATGGCTGAGTGTGAGCAGAGGCTGCTTTTCACCAGTGTAAAAGGCACCCTGGTCTGGAGAGTTAGAGGGACACAGTGGTTCAACAGTCCAGATGGTACCCTATGGGGTGTCACAAACACAACATTACTTCTGAGAATCCAGAGCCATAACACATAAGAACCCAAACCAGACAGGCAAGGCTTCTCCTTAGGGCAATGGGCAAAACTCACCCCATCTGGCTTTAAGTTGGCTTGGCTATAGGAAAAATTAGTGTGGGGCAGACTGGGATGTAAATCCATCATGCACCAACCTGCTGCACATGAATGGCAGGCTAGTGAGAAGCAGATATACACTCAAGCTTGCCACAGACTGTTTGTGTAGACAAGCCCTGATTCTGCTTGCAGACTTTGTTACAGAGCCCACTGGTCTGCAAACAGGACCTGGAAACCCCCCTCTCTTAAAATGACAACTTGCAATTCCAACCCAGTCCTTACTATAGCACAGGGACAAAGAAAAATTCCCTCTCCCATCCCTACTGAGAACATTGATGATTGCTGGTCTGATGTACACTCCATATTCTTTATGAAAAGCCACTTATAATATGAATAAGACATAACTGAGATTAACTTTATGCAAGATGGATCCTGTAAAGTATCATTGGAAAGGTTATAATTTACTAAATATGATTATCCTATTCCTATGCATGTATCATTTTTGTATATGAACAGTCTCCGAGGGGTAACCAGGTATCTGCAAAAGCAATGAGGAGTCTTATGGTACTTTATAAACTAGCAGATTTATTTGGGCATGAGCTTTCATGGCTAAAAACTACTTCTTGTGTGTGCATCTGATGAAGTGATTTTACCCACTAAAGCTTATGCCTAAATAAATCTGTTAGGCTATGTCTACACTAGCCTCCTAGGCAGAACTAGGGAGGCTAATGTAGGCATTCGAAGTTGTAAATGAAGCCCGGGATTCAAATATCCCGGGCTTGATTTGCATCTTCCCGTGCGGACGCCATTTTTAAATGCCCCTTAGTCCGAACTGACTGCCCGCAGCTACACGTGGCCGTCAAAAGTTAATCCGAACTAAATTGAGGTCTAATCAGTGCAGAGTAGAGCGGAAGAATCATGTTTGCTTTTTTTTTTTTTTTTTTTTGCAACAGCATCACACTGTTGACTCATATTTAGCTTGTGGTCCACTCTGACCCCTAGATCCCTTTCTGCCGTACTCCTTCCTAGACAGTCTCTTCCTATTCGGTATGTGTGGAACAAATTGTTCCTTCCTAAATGGAGCACTCTGCATTTACCCTTATTAAACTTTATCCTGTTTACCTCAGACCATTTCTTCAATTTGAAGAATCCAGATCATTTTGAATTATGACCCTATCCTCCAGAGCAGTTGCAACCCCTCTCAGCTTGGTATCATCTGCAAACTTAATAAGCGTACTCTCTATGCCGATATCTAAATCGTTGATGAAGATATTGAACAGAGCTGGTCCCAAAACAAACCCCTGCGGAACCCCACTAGTTATACGTTTCCAGCAGGATTGTGGACCATTAATAACTGCTCTCTGAGAATGGTTTTCCAGCCAGTTATGCACCCACCTTATGGGACCCTCAGAGGTTCCTAGAGCCTGGTTTCCAGCCTGAGCCTGAGCATCTGCACCACAATTTAACAGCCTTTTAGGTCAAGCTCCTTAGCCTGAGCCAGCTGGCACAGGAGAGGGTTTTTGCACAAAAAAGGAAACATCCACACGGCTTCTTTTTGCGCAAAAACCCCTTGCACAAAAAGAAACAGCAGAAAATATGCAAATGAGATCACAACTCATGCAAATGAGTCCCTCATTAACATATTTTCTTCTGCAAAAACTTGTAGGTGTTTAATAGCAGAGTAGACAGACCCCAAGAAAACTGAGGTTGCTCAGCACTTTCCAAGACCTGCTCAGTCCCTTAAAGTTCCAGGAAAATGAATGGGAGACAGAGGATATGTCTACACTAGCCCCCTAGTTCGAACTAGGGAGGCTAATGTAGGCATTCGAAGTTGCAAATGAAGCCCAGGATTTAAATATCCCGGGCTTCATTTGCGTCTTCCCGGGCGCCGCCAT